GGGTATGCTTGATTACCAGATTATATTCTTGCAGCTTGAGTGCCCATCTTATTAACCTTGGGGATAAATTTTTTCCAGAGTACAATAATCTAGTTACCGCCGCATGATCAGAATATACTGTTATCGGCGCCTTTCCAAAATAGACTCGGAACTTTTGCACTGCTAACAGAACTGCAAGTGCCTCTCTCTCGGTCGCGGAATAGTTTCTTTGTGTTTGATTTAAAGTTCGGCTAAAAAATGCCACTGGCTGCTGATTTTGCGAAAGTACCGCTCCTACCGCATAATCCGAAGCATCCGCTGAAATTTCTAAATTTTCATCCTTTTCAGGAAATTTCAACACAGGGGCTTGCGTTAATGCTTGTTTTAATTTTTCGAAAGCACTATTGGCTTCGGCCGTCCACGAGAATCTTGCCTTTTTCCTTTTTAATTTTAACAATGGCTCAGCGATAGCCGCAAAATCTTTTATAAAGGACCTATAATATGAACAAAGTCCTAGAAAAGAAGAGAGCTTCTTTGCCGTGTTTGGAGTCGGATACTTTTGTACAGCGATTATTTTTGATTCATCTGTCTCGATCCCTTTTTGCGATATTTTGTAACCTAAATATTTTAATTCAGGGGCTGCAAATTTGCATTTTTTTTCGACATTAACTTTTAGACCGGCCTCATTTAATAAAGAAAACACCTGTCTTAAATCCTGTACATGTTGGTCTAGATTATCACTAGTAATAATGATATCGTCTAAATAGATAAATGTGGACTTTCCGAGAACAGGTCTTAACACAATGTCCATGCATCGCTGAAATGTTGCTGGGGCGCCTGAAAGGCCAAACGGCATTCGCAAAAATGCATAAGTGCCAGACTTGGTTATAAAAGCAGTCTTAGGCACGTCCTCAGGCCTGATCCCTCTATTTGAAAATAACCATTCGTTAAGTCTAAAGTTGTCATAAATTTGGTTGATTTTATGTTCCTTAAAATTTCTTCTTCTATAATCGGTAACGGATATACCGGATATTTCGTTATGGAATTTAATTTACGGTAATCAATAGCGAATCTCCACCTTTTTGGATGCTCCAAAGGATAATCATTATTTTTCTTACATAAACCCCACCGGACTAGCATAACTACTTTACTTGAGATAGGCGTTACGATCTTTTTACGTAGCATATCGGTAATATGCCATTCTATAATTTTTTCCTTATTCTTATCATACCGGTATGGTTTTTGACGAACCGGCAATGCATCTCCGGTGTCAATACTATGGTTAGTAACCTGGGTAAATCCTGGAATATCACTAAATAAGGAAGCAAATTCACTTACCACTTGTCGGATTCTATCTTGCTCGTCATTAGGCAGGTGGTCGAAGATTTAACCTTGGCGGTTCAACCTTTTCTACACGCACTGGTTTCATCGTCAGCTTAAGAGACGCTTCATTAAAATCCAGTGTAGCTTGTGCGTCTGAAAGAAAGTCTATTCCTAGTATTAAGTGTGCTTGCAAATTCTTTACTATAAAAAACATCACCTTTACTTGTTCGTCCTTGATACGGATGTACAAAGGTACTTTACCTACGCACTTACATTGTTCTCCTTGCGCCGCTAATACTGTTGTATTATCCGCATTATATATGCGGTATTTGCGAAAATACTTTCTAAAAAAAGACTTCTGCCACACAGGAACACTGCGCGCCGGTATCCAGGAGTGCGGTGGCCGGGATATTATTTACCAAGACTTCAATCTTCGGAAGAGTTAAATTTTTCACCATTACTGTATTTAACTTGTAGGAAGAGGGGTTTTCGTGGCCTTCGGATTTCCGCACCCTCTCGTCAGCAGAAATCCGTTTTAGTTTAAATTATTTTTCCTTTCGGTGCTTTCCTTCTTTTCTCCACTGGCCTTGAGACTTTTTTCCTGGGTTGCTATTGAACTGTCGACGTTCGCCGGCTGTTTTTGAATGCTCGGGTTTCCTTGCCCACTGATTCGCTTTTTCTCCGTAGCCATGTGCTTGAGTTTGCTGTAGTCTTGGCGTACCAAATTGGTTTCGCTGTTGATATTGGCGTCTTCTTTCGACGTCCGCCGTTCTTCTACTTTCAAACTGGATTGCTAGCTCAAATAATTTTTCCAGTGTAGTCGGATTTCTCAATTCAATAAAGTCTTGCACTTGGGGTAGTAACCTCGGCAAAATCACTTGAATTATTTCAGGATCCGGACGGTTTCCATACAAGAGCTTGAAAACGTGAATTTTTCTTAAAATAAAACTCGAGAGGTTTTCCCATTCTTTGTTGATATATACTGAAAAGTTCTGTTTCTAATTTCGCACGATCCCTTACAACAGGGAAGGCTTTTAGTAGGGCAGTCTTGAAATTTTCGTAGGTATAGGTGGGACTTCCTGCTTGACCCAAGAGACTTCTGCCGATACATTTGAACCAGTTAAGCGCTTGGCCCCTCAAAGCGCTGGTAGCTAAGGTAACTTTTTGAAACTCGTGCACGGGGTAGAGCATGAAGTGGTCATCCAATTTTTCCAAAAAACTGGTTACCTGTGAGTTTCCATTAAACGTTGCTTCTGGTTTCATCGAAGCGCGCATGGTCTGGACAATATACCCAAATCCTTCCAGGGCGGCAGCTGGCATTTCTGGATTCTGAGCTGTTTCTGCAGGCAGCACAGGTTCTTCTTGAAACTCGGCGGCCATGGTTATTCTTATTCTTCGTCGGGCGCCACTATCAGGTTCAATGTTTCTTCTTCTTCTAACCTTCTTCGGAAACATACAATGACCTGACTAGAACAGAGAGCTTACTAAAGCTATGTTCACTAATTGTAGTAAGTAGACAGGATACAGACGAAGGGTATACAAAACCCTTTATTTTTTCTTTATATACAATGACTTCCGTACTTCGGAATACAATGACCCTCCACTCGGGGTCTAACTTAAAAGATATCAAAATAAAACTAAACTCTAATTTAACTTTAGAATAAGATTGGCCTTATAATAACAGAAAGCGTATGTAGCACAGAGACTGTGAACACTACAATACGTTTAATTTATCAAGAGGATTAAAACCTCTGGCCTGGAAGGCAAAGTAGCAACTGCGTAACTTCTAAGGTAAGCGGCCTGCTTCGAACTCACGGCTTCCTCTTTTGCTTGGCAAAAAGGCCACACTTAAATACTTGGCGTTCGCCAGACAATTTTGCATAAACTCCTTCACGCTTATAATTCTGGCCGGAAGTAGAAAATAAGAAGTGATAGTAAAGATTTAAAATAAAATAAACGTTAGTAAAACTTAAGATCCTTACACTCTTAGTTTAGCCAATGTAAATTAAACCACATTGGCAAGGAATCCTGTAAATACCCCAGGAATTCATATATGAAATGGGGCCTTTGAGTATGGAACTCGGAATTTTATTGATGGGAGAATAAACGACACGAAAGTTAATTTTCTGCAAAATACGTGCAACTTTATAGCTAATTGATGAAAAAAGAAGGGAATGACAACAGAATTTTTATAATCTCCTAAAACAAGAGTGTGCCTTTTGGTGTGTTGAGATGAGAATTTTTTAACTGTTTGATTAATAATGTTGGGTGAAAAGCCCCTGTCAATGGCTATTGCTTTTAAATAATTTAGTTCTTCATCAAGATATAGTTTGGAGGAGCAAACTTGAAGAGCACGGAAAACATAGGAATAAAATGAAGCTAACTTTTGTTTAGTTGGATGACATGATTTGAAGTGTGGTGGAAGGCAAACCGATGAAGGTTTACGGTAAACCGTAGTACTGAAGTTGGATGTGTTACGTGTGACCAGAATGTCGAGAAACGAAAGAGAATTGCAAGTCTCAAAGTTCAAAAGTGAACTGAATAGCAGGATCAATAGAATTCATTGTTGAAAGAACTTTATTTAAATCACCTTTATTACCTTCAAACGGTAAAAGTATCGTCTACGTAGCGGATCCATACCGGGAAGTTTAAAGTTTCAAACAATTTTGATTCATAATAATGCATGTAGATATCAGCCAGGATGGGACTGACGGGGCTTCCCATGGCTAATCCCTCAATTTGCTTGTAATATTTATTTTGGAAAACAAAATGCGTTTGTTTCAGACAGAGTTGAGTGAGAGAAATCTGGATAGTTTGAAACCCATTTATGTAACTGCATGCCACCCTTGTTCAATAAATTCATTAATTCAAATTGCAAAGAAATTGTGTCCTCTAAATTTTCTGAACCATATAAAATATCATCCACGTAGACATCGGTAAGTAAAACTGCGAAAGCACGGGGTAAACAGCCTTGCTCCTCCTCAGCTAAAGCTTTTAAAGCTCTAGTGGCCAAATACGGGGCACATGTTGTACCAAATGTAATTGTTCTCAGTCTGTAAAGTTTCAACAGGTGAGCAGGAACTTGATTTCCACAAAATTCTCTGAAGTTCTCTATCAGTTTCTTCGACAAGAATTTGCCTGTACATTTTAGTAATGTCTGTGCTAAATACATATGTGTGTGTTCAAAAACGAGTTACTATTGAAAATAGATCTTGTTTCACAGTTCCACCAGTCAGTAATAAGGAGTTGAGACTTACTCCATTTGCGCACTTAGCTGATGCATCAAACATGACACGAAGAGGAGTAGTATTGCTTTCTGTCCATTGATACTCTGTATCAACGTATCAATGGATATTTGTTTATGGGACATTACTTGTTTACTATGGTCGTCTTTTTTTAACGAATATACTTGCAGTTGTAATGGAATTTAAAAAGGTCTCATTTATAAGGGTTTTTTGCTAGGGAAAGAGGTGCATTTCCCCCCAACTTTGTCGTGAATTTTTCCATCTACGTATTCTGCAACTATATCAGGTTTTGAGGACTCGTATTGTACTTTAAAAAAAATTCTGTCAATGAAAGATAATATTAAAATCGCACTTCATAATTTACAATTCTTTACTTTATCTTGCAAATTTATAATTATTCGTTTTCGTATCCTGAAGGAAATCTAAAGTTTATTATTCTTACTATTTTTGCAGGCATTTTTGGAACCTTATCTACGCACGCAGCAGACAAAACGCAAGTCATCGAGGTCGCTGACATCAACAGACAACGATATAAATAAGGAATCCGCCGAGAATGAAAAAGTGTGGACTTATGGTCATTATAAATCTCTTTCAACGAGACTTTGAAAATAGTGCTTTGCCATGCAGAATAGCGAGCGCTGTATAAATGCTACGAGAAGGAATTTCGTCAGATCCATGAGATTAAGGACAATAATTCGGGCAGTGATTTAAAAGTTTGGATTTGCAACCACTGGAACAACAAAGAAGGATCTGCTTCCATTAAACAAGTTCACAATGTAAATATTAATCTTTCAAACATAATCAGTATCTCATCGCAATAAGATAGGGAATGCAGAATGCATATTTGCATTAGATTTGTTAGCAATTTCAGCGACTGCTTTTTGATAACTTTTGGAAATGTAATAAAAAACTAAACAATTGGTGAGATAAATTTGATTCGACAAAACACGTTTCCTGGGGCTGCTCCAAGTTGAGTGCAATGATCTATTTTCATTAATAAAAATGCTAATTCGAATAAGCGACTGAAAATAACTAAAATAGCATTTAATTTCAGACTTACTGAATTTATACAGTTGTTTATTCCAAAACACTTTAAGAAATGTTTCATATTACAAAATAGTATTTTCAGTTTATTTGAATCAGTTTTCTGTATAAAAGTACAGGAATGTTTGTGATCATACTTTGCAAGAATGTAGAAATCTTGTTGGAGAATATGCTGCAATAATTAAAGAATGTAATGCAATGGCATGAGCTAAAAACATGATGCACTCTGCAATAATAATTAAAACATTATGCTATTTCGGCGGTTTAATGCTCCGAGATATCTGCATGGCACAACGAAAGATAAGTAAAGTTTCAGTTACTCGTTTCTTAAAAAAAAAAGGAGCTGTTGTTAACCTGCACTGTGATATTGTACATTGTTGTACAATATCACAGTGCTGTATTATAGTGACTTAATGCTGAATTTCTGTGACACGTTACATTCCGTGTTACAAATGCTGGTCCCTGGTACAAGATTACAGTAATGTGTTATAACACATAATAATGTGCTATTGCAGTTACATAATAATCAGCATAATAACTTAATTTTATAATGTGTGGCTTAACTGAGTAATGCTGCAGTATGTATAGCTAATACCACAATACTCAAACACATTAATAAAATAACAATACAATGATATAATACACTGATCATTTATAAAAATTATCTGCATCTGCTAACTCTACCTGTTCCATTACAATCCTGAATTCCTGTACATTCCTGAATATTATCCATCACAAAAACAAAATACTACTTTGCAAGGTATTTCTTAGATATAGAAATTGAATGTACTATTTACTTTACTGCTGATAATTTTCAACAAATTAATAATTAAGCTACTGAAAATATAGTTTATATCTTAAATATTTCCTATATAAAAAGAATATTTAAAAATGTTTAAGCACGTGGTATTAACACAGAAAGCCTGGTATAAAAGTATATAGGTAGTTTTTATGAGATAGACTAGTGCCCTGTAGTAACAGAAGTATTTGTAAATGCCTAAATGATGATACGCAGTATGTTATTATACTAATTAATGAGATGAAACGTTTGATTCAGATCGACTAAAGCGTAGTCATTTTGTTAATTTAATTAAGATAAAGTATTTGAGGGCTATCTGCGAAGGGAAGGATGCCTTCGTGGAGGACCTTTCCTAGAGAAACTAACTTATATTCATGTTGCACCTGTGGAAAACCATGAAAATTTCTAAGGCGCTAATTTCTTCACTAGATATCATGAGGAACTTCACAGAATATCATGAGGTTGAACTTTCAGGTTTCTGGGTTTGAATATTACCAGCATGAGCAGTCTTATCTGTTCGGTCACTGGTGAGTGATTATACATGAGGGACAACTTTTGTCACTACTAAGAGTAGATTGCAGGGGGTACACTACCGTTGATTTTTTTTAGCTTTAGATACCAATTTCGTGATTCAAAAGGAGTTTTGTGGACAATCTCTAGTTACATACTTACATTTAATGTATGCATCAGTCAATCAATCTTCAATGAATCAGATGAATGTGTAAGATTCCTGTCTTCTAATTTACAGCTAAGGTTGAGGAACCTTAAGAACAGGTAAGCGAATAATCGCTTTAGTTCAGTAGACAGAGAACAGAAGTCGAGAAGGTTAAATACCTTTTATTATTCCACGTAAAGTTCACAGAAGACTCCTTCTTGGAGTTTTACAATAAAGTCTCCACTCCGGCTTGAACTCAGGAAACTATGATATGATATGAGGGATGCAGCCCGACCCTCCTGGCAGACTTTACGTCGCCCTATGACCATTTTGCGGGCTGCGCCACAGGAAACTAATATATAAAACTTTACTAATCTTAAGTAAAAATATATAGCCGAAACTATCGAGATTATAACGGAGTTAGGACCTAGAGGCCCCTATCAAGGTCCTAATTCGGACGATACCCGAATAGTCAGTGAAAGCCGCCCTGGTGTCCGGACCCTGCTCTCACCTGTCACCGCCTATCAAGGTCCTAAAGTACGGCGCATCGTAAAAATAGCTTTAGAGAGAGTATAGCCAAAAGGCTAACGCGCTGATCAGAATCTTTGGCTCTCTAACGAAGTCAGTAGAACTTCACAGTTAAATACTTCTTCTCTTCATTTGCATTCAACCGCAATTCTGAAAATACGTTCTGGCCAGAAGTTGTAAGCTGAAATTAAGGAAAGACAGGAAGTAAATTTTAACTAAAATTTAACTGTTAGAAAAATTAAGCCTTACAAATGTAAATTAATTTATTTTAACTGGGGCAGATTTTGATGCATTATATCTAAAGTTTTATACAGAATTTAATTTCAGCTGACGAATTAAATTTTGTAGAATATTTTTAATTTATTTGTTTAAATATTTCAATCTTTAAACCACTTTCTTATGATTTTAGGCTATATTTTTATATCTTAGTGAAAATGTTTTTAATTTTTTAATAATAAAATTTTTAAGATTACTCTTTTAATGAAGTACACTCAATTAAAGAGTAGTTAATAAGTGAAATGGCTGTCAGCTTAATTGTTAATCTTATACGTGATGCAAATACAGGCAGTTTCTTTTGACTAGAAAATCTGCTTTCTGCATTATTTAATGTTATCCTCGGAATATAATTTGGTTCTATCTTTTTTATAAAGTAAACTTAACTGTCAAATTTCAACATTTTAAAACTACTGTAAAATCTTGAAATTTCTAAACTCGTATAGATATCCAGAAATTCAATGAATATGCTTCAACATTAAAAAGCACATTAAGTTTGTTCACAATCGTTCTGGACATAGTGAATTTAGCCATATTAAATTACCTGAAGCATTAAAGTTCCTAGAATAGTATTTTATTAGCTTTTCCGAATATAAGAATATTTATTGCCATTTGAAAACAGACTCGTGTAGAATATTTATTAGATATGGAGATTAAAATCAATTAACAAAATTTTACTTCAGTTTTGCACAGAGTAACTCGCTAAAGAAAGGCTATGAAAGTATAATTCTTAATATTGCTTGCCAAAAAAATTTAGTAATTGACATTTCACGTAAAATTTAGTAGAAAATTGAGGAAAATTTTGATGCATTTACATTAAAACTGTATTTTAAAAATACGTAACCATCTCCTTTATCATTTTGAATTTGAGATAATATTCCTAACATAAGAATTTAAGTTACTAAATTGAGTGGGCTTAAACAGCTTAATTGTAGCTGATAGCACAATTTTTAAGAAGCATAAAGTCAAGCACTTGGACAGGGACACTAAATTTTATTCACGGTTGATATTTTATAATGATGAAGTATGCACACTTGTTAGTTAGCGTTTGTTGGGCTCGATGGAAAATGCGGAAAAAAAGATATCGATTTTTATACGCATTTTATAAATATATTTATGTGAAATTTTAAGTAACCGTAACTGAATTTAAGGGGTATTAGAAATCCCTATACCGACAGTGTTAAATTGTCCATTTACGACGTACCTTTTCTCAAAATCTGCTGCAGATACACGCTTGAAATGTTTTGTATAATTAAAGCGTACCTATCTGGTTATACTGAAATGAGCTTTGGAAACATTTTGAATTTTGAGAAATTTACAGAACGTTTTGTAAGGTATAGTAAAATTTAGCACTTTTCTCACACAAAACGTTTTTTTAAATACTTCTTTCGTAGTATATTACAAAAAGCTCATTTGAGTAAATATTAGAAAACCTAATAAATAAGCCATAAAAATTGTAGATACCTGTGAGCAGTAGTTCCTGAGAAAAGGTACATTGAGTGTAAAAAAATCACGTTTGGAGAAAAACGCATTTTTATGTAAAAATCCTCGTTGATCAAAGCACTCGATGACAAATTAAAACTAGATTTTATACAGTTTTAATTTTCATAGCGATTAAAGAATGATAATTTTAGAAAGATAAATGAGTAGAGAATTCGAATATGCAAAAATCCGAAATCTCCATTTTTTGAAGATTTTGGGGTAACTTAGCACCCCTTAAATAGTAACTTAATTACGCTATTATTAATACTACCAATCTCTCTGCATGGCATTAGTCAGACACAGAAATATAAATATTTGGGAAAAAATATTGAAAGAATCTCTTTTCCATTACTTTCTATTTTGTAGGCTAATGTAATCAATATGCTTTAAAATTCATTGAGGAAGTATTACTGCATTTTCCAACTACAGTTTTATTAATTAATCTTTCAATTTGTAAGACGCCTTATTTTTTAAGGTTCCTTAAGGTTACATACATTATGATCATACATGCTTTTTTTAGTTTTCTAATGGTTATATACACTTATGTGCAAAATAAAGAAAATCTGCACATTATACCGAATTTCTGAAAAATTAATGGCCAAACCTTAATGAAATTTGGTATGAATGTACATTTATAACACACAAAGAGGTATGCCATTTAAAAGTCATTTTGCGTACGCAAGATTGTCAGTAGAGCTCATAATGCAGAGATGTACAAAATCCACGTTGTGATATCTAACTGAAAATGAGTCTAATATGGGTATGGTCTCTTCTCACTGCCAAACAGCTCGCGCAGAGTGACGACATATTGGGTAGTAGGCAGCAGAAAAGTCCCTATGGCAGTCTATCTTACTCTTGCAACAAGGCTGACCTATGTATATGGAGACGAAGCAGGAGATATGAAAAATGAGCAATGCTCTCGCCGGAACTCCGACCTCTCGAAATACGCGCCGAGTGTGCTGACCATTACACCACGAAGGCATGCTAAGAAGGTGAGAGAAATACCTTATATATGGATGAGCACTGTCATCTATTAACAGGAACCCAGGACCAAATGCTCCCATGAAAAGTCGAACATAGGGCTCTAAAATCACCTCTCTATACCTCATAGCAGTCACGGAGGCTTTGTCAAACACATGCAGGGGTGGTGCAGCCGTCCAACATAATGGCTGCCCAAACCAATACACTTTTAGCGCCGCCATGATCCTTTTTCCTAATGAGGGAAGAATGGTATCGTGTTTCAGGCTCTCTCCAGATACGGGTACGCCAAAAGTCAGTGTCCAGACTGAATCTCTACTGATTTGTTGAAAACACCTTACTCCACTGAAGTCTAGCCCAAGGTGCATTTTGTCTGCACTTTAAATGCTAATTGCTTATGCTTATATTAGCCCAGTTGCGCTTTAATAAGCTATATTGATCTAATCTCCTAAGGGCAATCACATGTCAACTATCAGCTAGTTCCCAGCCGGGAAATCGGT